AGCGCCATCAAGCAGGGCAACACCAGCCGCAACCACATCGGACAGCCACTGCCGCACGTCAGCAGCACCTGCCGTGCGCCCGCCCCATCACGCCCCTGGTAGCGCCCAGCGCCCAGTCACGCCACTAGGAGCGCTCACCGAGTGATCCCCAGCAGAGCCATCGGCAGCGCCACCGCGCGTATGCCCAGTGACTCGGGAAAGAAAACGTCAGAGGACGCAGAATCAAAGCCAGATCCAGCAGCTGCCGGACTGGAAGAGGACAGGTTTTTCACCGCATCCGGGGGTGATTCCACGACCACAAACACGGGGGTTCGGGTGGATCACTTACCGCCGGAAGGACGACCTGCAGGCTCTACTAAAAGAGTTTGGACTTGACCCGAACGGCCAAGTAGACGAACTAAGACCACGATTGGCATCCCTCATCGGAGGAGGAGACCACAGCCCGGCTCTACGAGAGCGCTTTGCCGCACTGGAGGCAATATACCCGGAAGCACCCACCCCGAGGACGTCCACCAGTCGGGCCACCTCACCGATACCCGGAATCGAGGATCACACGTTTTCTGTGCCCTGCTTACGGAACCTACGGAAAAGGCCTGGACGGGAGATACCGGGCGCCAACCCAGCCGCCCATCTTCCGCATAGCCCTATATCCGCGGCCGTGTTTGCCGAGAAACTGCGAGGATGGGGCGTACTTTTTGACGGACAGTCAGACCCCGTTCATTTTATAGAACGCATCGAGGAAGGTGCCACTGCCTACAATGTGAGAACGAGTGACATACCGAGGGCAGTCATTGGACTTCTCTCAGGCCGCGCCGAAGGCTGGTACCGGGCATACCAAATGCCCACCGAGCCATGGGGAACTTTCCGGAGAGAGTTTCTGGAGTTTTTCTTGCCACCGCGGTACTACCAGAGCCTAGAAGATGCCATCCGGACCAGGCAACAACAAGTGGGCGAGCTCTTCAAAATATACGTAGTGGAATTACGCCTGATGATGCAACGCGCCAAGTACTCACTAGACCAGGAGCTCGAGCGGATCTACGAGAATTTGTTGCCGGAGTACCAGCTTTTCATACGGCGACATGAGTTCTCCTCACTAGAGGGGCTTATCCAACTGGCAACTGCGTTCGAAATCGCACGGGATCTAGACCCCGTTCGACATGCAGCCCCAATTCCAACCGCAAGCTGGAATTCCGACAGGGAGAGCAGCGAAAGACCCACACCTCAACCCCGGAACTTTCTCGCTCCAACGCCCTCTGGACCCAGGAGACCGGCGATATCCAACGGGATGATCGCCCAGGAAGCGGAACCACCGGTTCACACGAGAATGCCGAAACCCACCGCAGATGTACTGCTGGGACTGTGGGAAACGAAGCATCCGTACCATCGACTGCTGCCGCCGGACGGAAAACGGCCAGGGTCGCCGCCCACGTCGGGAGCCCGCGGTGACCCACTCGGTGCTCCCCCATCACTAGATTCCCCACTCCGCCTGGCGGGGGGGCGGATTGTTGCCAATGTTACCATCGAGGGACAACCTTTCTCGGCAACAATTGACACAGGAGCCTCGCGAAGCTTTGTCAGCGAAGCGATCACCAAGCGCCTAGACTCAGGAAGAAACAGCAGAGAAGTCCGCTCCCGCATCTCTCTGGCGGATGGATCTCAGAAAGAGGTGACCAAGGCCCTCCGGGCGCAAGTCGGCTTAAACGACCGACCGATCGGGCTGACGCTACTAGTCCTGCCAACGATCCTGGATGAAGTGATTTTGGGCATCGACTTTCTCTGCGCCATCAGCGCAACTCTAATCTGCGGGCAAGTCTTCTTGCAACTAGCCCCACCTGCCACCCAGAAGGTAGAACAAACCCCAGATACGCGGGCGACTACTACGGCCGCAACCGCGCAATCCCCAAGCACACCCGGTACGCCGCAATCATCGCAAGGCACCGAGGGGGGGACCAAAACAGTTCCAAAGCCTGCTCCGAGGACTCACTTAAAGCCAAACGCGTCAGTGCGGAAGACAAGTCCTGACCCCTCGGGACCCCCGTTGTCAAGGAACCCGTCAGGCGACACCGCGGGAACCTGCATCACCACGGAGAACATGTACGGCCGCAGGCGGACGCCGCCACGGCAAAGGAGAAGAACCCGTTTCGACGCCCCTCCACGAGCGCCATGTTGGCCACCACAACGGTGGAAACTCACACGCGCAAACCAGCCACCTCACCTGGGCCTCGGGAACCACAACGGAAAATCGGTGTATATCAGCTGCCAGCCCAGTCGGACGCAGCCAGCGCACGGAAGCACAACCCGTTCCGGAGCCATTGTCCCCACGGACACCTGGCCACTGTAGCGGAGGACCCAACCAGGCTACAGGTGACCGAAGAACCTCACGCCGAGAAAACCGCCCACTTTCTGCAGGGGGAGCTACAGCTTTTCAACGAGCTAAGCGGGCCAACGGAGATCGCCGAGCATAAGCCACTAAAGCAGCGGTATTATCCAAGAACCCCGCCATGCAGAGCATAATCAATCAGCAGTTGGATGAGCTACTACGAGACGACCGAATCGAGCCCTCCCGTAGCCCGCACAGTGCCCCGCTGGTGCTCGTGCGGAAGAAGACAGGGGATATGCGGATGTGCGCCGACTATCGACAACTCAACGCACATTCCATGCCCGATGCCACTCCCACGAATCAACCACATATTGGAGCGGCTACGGAACGCCCGGTTCATCTCAACGCTGGATCTTAAGAATGGATACTGGCAGATCCCTATGGCGGTAGGAAGCCGCGAATGCACGGCTTTCACCGTCCCTGGGCGCGGACTCTTCCACTGGAAGTCATGCCCTTTGGACTGCATTCTGCCCCAGCAACGTTCCAGCGATTCCTTGACAGCGTCATCGGGCCGGATATGGAACCCCACGCCTTCGCCTACTTGGACGACATCATCGTCATCGGGGTGACGTGGGAGGAACATGCCAGGAATCTCAGGGAAGTCTTCCGACGACTGCGGGAAGCAAAGTTTCGTCTGAATCAAGGCAAGTGCAAGTTTTTCCAGAAAAAGCTGGTATACTTAGGCCACTTGATCATTGAAGAAGGCATCAGGACGGACCCAGATAAGATAGCTGCTATCCAGGGACTACGCCCGCCAATCAACGTCAAGGAACTCCGTCGCCATTTGGGCATCGCATCTTGGTATCGACGCTTCGTCCAGGATTTCGCCTCCATCGTTCAGCCCATGTCCCGACTCCTCAGGAAGGGGGTCAAGTGGAGTTGGGAGGAGCCCCGACAGCAGGCATTTGAGACACTCAAAGCCAGACTAACGGCCGCACCGGTACTGGCCTGCCCAAATTTTGAATACAAGTTCCAGCTTCAGACGGATGCAAGTGATGCAGGACTTGGAGCAGTCCTCACTCAGAGCATCGATGGAGAGGAAAAGGTCATCGCCTACGTAAGTCGACGCCTCGAGCGAGCCGAGGAAAACTACTCCACTACCGAAAAGGAGTGCCTCGCCATAGTTTGGGCCACGCGGAAGCTACGCTGCTACTTGGAGGGCTACCAGTTTGACGTGATTACGGATCACCTCGCTCTCAAGTGGTTGAACTCGATTGACAACCCCACCGGCCGCATAGCCCGGTGGGCTCTGGAGCTGCAACAATACCAGTTTACCGTCCTCTATCGGAAGGGCAAATACAACGTTGTCGCAGACGCCCTCTCCCGACAACCCCTAGGGATGCTTCAGCTGCTCGCGGAACACGGAACTCAGTGCAAATGGATCCGGAGGATGCAAGAAGTCCAGAGGCGCCCCGAAAAGTTTCCGGATTACACTCTGGATCACGGACAGCTGTATCGACACATCGGACACACCTCAGACGTGGGAAACAGCAACCCATGGAAGCTTTGCGTGCCTCGGGAGCAGAGACAACGAGTGCTGGAGGAATGCCACGACCACCCTTCTGCTGGTCACCTGGGCATCCGGAAGACTCGCAGACGGATTGCCCAACGATATTTCTGGCCGGGATTACATCGAGACGTTGTGCGGTACGTCACCAGCTGCTTGGTTTGCCAACAATACAAGGTGAGTCAACGCAAACCGGCGGGCAAAATGCTCACCCGCCATCCCACGGAGCCATTCGCGCTCGTCGGAGCCGACTTCGTTGAACCTCTCCCTCGGACCCGACGAGGGAATACCATGTTGCTCGTATTTATAGATGTCTTTTCCAAATGGGTCGAGATCACCCCCCTAAAGAAGGCCACAGCCGCCCAACTGGAGTTTGGATTTCGGGAAAGGATAATATCCCGCTTTGGAGCACCCAGGACTTTGATCTGCGACAGCGGCACGCAGTTCACCAGCCGCGGTTTCAAGACATTCTGTCGCACTAACGGCATCAAACTGGAATACACAGCTCCCTATTCCCCGCAGCAGAACCCCACCGAACGGGCAAACCGGACCATCAAGACAATGATAGCCCAGTACGTGGACCAGGATCACAGGACATGGGATCAGCTACTGCCAGAGATCTCGCTGGCCATAAACACGAGCATCTCAGATAGCACCGGTTTCAGCCCCGCCTATCTGGTGCAGGGTAGGGAACCCAGATTGCCAGGAGCCCTCTTTGAAGTGGTTATGCCCCCCAGCCAGGACTCGGCCCTGTCAGACCGGAGCCCCACACCACCCAGCTTCAGCCCAATCCTCAGCCTCCAGTCACGCGAAGCTCGTAACGGCGACTCCATCTCCACCGTGCCGTGGTCGCCGGACGGAAGCATTGGAGTTAGCGGCGAGCCACCTGCGGCGTTTTCAGTTGGAGCATCGGGGGACGACGACGACGACCCGACAGCACCCACGGTGGCCCGTTTGGCACGGCTGCAGGTCTTCAAATCCGGCGAACCGGGGACGGCAACAGTTCACCGTTCGGTGGATGCTTGGATCCAGAGCCAGGATCACCACGCGTTCGCACCCGGCTAACTTGAGCAATGCCGGCGGGAAGCCGAACGCTGCCCCTCGGGAAGCTCGATGTCTTCCGATGACTCCTCCGTGGCGATGTACGGTCGCTTTGGAGCCGGGCAACTTCGCGCGCCCCAACAGCCGGTCATCGACGAAGCCAACCGGGCCTGGGAGGACTACGGCGGCTACGTCAACCCAGAGCCTGGGGAAGCCGACGTCGGGAGTAGACCCAGCTCCGGGCACGGTTCCGACGAAGCCAACGAGGAGGAGGACGACGCCAACGAGGAGGACGCAGGACCCGCTGCTGGCCAGGACCCAGGAGTCGGAGGAAACGCTCCCCAGGTTTTCGTAGACCCGCCACCGCCGGCCATACCAGAGGCATCGCCCGGATCACCACCAGAGCGGCCACCGAGGGCATCTCCCAGAACGCCGCGACGGACGTCACCCCCAGGAGGTGGAAGCCACAATACCAGTCCGCTACCCCAAACGCCCGGACGCTTGCAAATCTCCCCACGAACCCCGGAAGGGATGTTGCGACCACACAGCCAGCGATCGCCGCACCCAATATCGCCGGGCCTGGGCACCTCTGCGCCCGCCGTACCGCAAATTCCCGGCCGCACGATCGCACCAAGCGAGATGGGCTGGGAACCGGACCTGCAATTATTCCTCAGCGGGGAAGAGGAGGATGAGGTCCTGCAAGCCCTCTGGGAGTGTCCGGACGCTGGATAAGTCATGGAGGAGGCCCACTGGATCGTCGCCCCAGTCGGCTGGAGGGTAGACACCCACCAGCGACGACTGCCTACAGCCCTAGTCCCATCCATCCAGGAGCAGGATCGACGGAGGGTGCGCTACCTGCGCCAGATCGAGGGTCATCGGATCCGAGTCACCATCACCGCCGGGCGGGAGGTGATCGTTTCCCTCCGCCATAATCACGCCGAAGAAAGGGGGCGGTGTGAGGATGCGTGAAACACACCCTTCACATTTTCGCAACTTTTATTCTTTCCGCCACGAAGGCATACAATTGGATGTTACGGCACGACGGCCATTTATTTATAAGTTATAAGCATAAGTTAGCCATAAGTCGTTACGCCACGAAGGCAATTTATTTAAGTTCAAACTAGAAGCTAAGCTTATCAGATTTAAATATCGCGCGCACCAGGGCTGGAAAACCACCCAGTGTTGGTCAACCGAGGGCCAACAGCTGATAGTGCCGATAGCGATAGGCGGAGGATCGATAAGAAACTGTGTTGGGAAACGAAAAAACCCGGCAAACCGAGCTCACATGCGGCCGCAAGGGCGGAAGCTCGCTCTCATTCCCGAATGGCAGCAAAGGCGACCAGACCTAGGAGCGAACTTCAACCCGGAGTGGCACAGCGGTACGAGCGTCGGCACGCCGGATCCAAGGAGTAAGTGGGACACAGACAATAGAGATCAGACTGAGTGCGAGTAGGGGACTAGGAAAATAACTTGTGAAACTACCGAATAATAAAGATAGAAGAGAATGAAGAAGTATGTGTCTGTGTGAATTTGTGCATTTTTCGGGAACCCACGTGCAGTGATTTGCACCGGTCGGGAATCGTGTTGCGCCAGAGACGATTACTCAGTGCAAACGACCACCCGATCGCCCACAAGGGGCATAGGAAAGGATCGCCTCTGGCCACCCTCTCCTGTAAACTCCGCCCCAAATACGGTTTAGGTAGTCGCGAGCCACGTGCAGTGATCTGTGCCGGTCGGGAATCGTGTTGCGCCAGAGACGATTACTCAGTGCAAACGACCACCCGATCACCCACAAGGAGCATAGGAAAGGATCGCCTCTGGCCACCCTCTCCTGGGAACCCCGCCCCAAATACGGTTTAGGTAGTCGCGAGCCACGTGCAGTGATCTGTGCCGGTCGGGAATCGTGTTGCGCCAGAGACGATTACTCAGTGCAAACGACCACTCGATCGACCACAGGGAGCACAGGGAAGGGTCGCCTCCGGCCATCCTCCCCTCGGATCCCTACCCCCTACCCCAGTAGCTTGTGAGTCGCACATCCAGGGTGAACGGCCACGCCGTCCAGTTTTGTTGGTATTTTCTCAGGAATCGGCCATGCCGCTCGTTTCGTTAGTATTTTCGGCGGGAGCAGCCCCGCCCTCCACTATACCTTCCGGGTGCCGTGTTGCGCTAGAGCCGCTTACTCGGTGCAACGCGGATACTCTGGCCTCTTTTCCTTACAAATCCCCGCGGCAGCTCCCCGTTCAGTTTCGTTCCAATATTTTTCTACAAATTTAACTGTAGAGGACCCTGGCCGGACTGAGTTTTATCCCAGCCTATGAAAAAGGTCCTTACAAAGTCTAGACTTTCTTCCCATCGAGACTTAGTTTTTGCGTCTACCTTTGTCGTGACCTTGTCACTAGCGAAAGCAAGGATTCCTAAATTGCTGTGCGCAGTGACAAGGTAAACTGAGGGAATGTCAAAGAGGCGTGAAATACAATCGAAACAAATTAAAAACTTATTGAAGTATACGTGACTTAAGGCAGCAAGTGCCTTTAGATAATTGGTCTCAGTTATTTGGTATGCTTTCACGGTTTTTTTTCGATTTTGTGCAGTAGTTTACATATAAATAGATTTTGTGGCTACACACTTATCCTTAAGCTCAGATCGAGGGGACAATACCGGATTAATTAACTCGATTTCCTCTTGGAGGTTAAATGCACAATTTATGTAATTGTGTAAAATGTTTAAGTTGCACTCTAATTCGCTGCCTCGAAATGATACGATTTGTTGTTGCATAAAATCTCCCAACGCGAGAGTAATGTGTTGGCATGATCATTGAACTTTGGTGACGACTTAAACTTCGTCTCGGAGCCATGATGCAATTTTACGCTAAATGCCAATATAAGTGAATATATATTTAGCCCGCTGATTTAATCGAAAGCAATTCTCAAGTAGAAAGCACAGATATATAGTGTTGCGATAGGTTCTAATAGTCGAAATTATTTTTACCTTGTGATTTATATATTTTTAATTATTTGAATAGATTTTGTAATTGTACCCTAATTGAATGTGAACTGAATTGCAAGTGTGGTCCGTTACTCTCAGGCAGAAAGACAAATTGAAATCCAACTCGAATTCATGAGTCTCGGGCTAAGCGCAACCAAGGTGCTACAACGATTTTCAAAGTTCCCCCTGATCGGTGAACTGTACTTAACCAACTGTATATGTGTGACACGTGTTTGCCTCCAAACTAACGCCTTGCCGAAATGCTTCCAGTTTGTTACTTAGCGATTAGTGAAATCCAGCGGCGTGTTCAGTACAAGCCCAAACTGAGACTTCACGGTGAATGTACATATGTATAGCCAATTTTCTGCTATATAAACGATAAATGCAGCGGCGTGTCGAGTACAAGCCCAAACTGAGATTTCTTTTCTACAAAATTCTCTATTAGAATTGTCCAGGCCACTTAAGCCGGAAACAATTTCTTGAGATAAAAGTTATGACAGGATGTCTTTGCGTTCCCATTTCGAGTTGTATAAGATAGTGCTAAATATTGATGGGGATTAAGATAATTCAGGTAGGAAATTTCTCCAATATTCAAAGTTAAATATTTTAGAAAATTCACCAGCTACATCAATACCATATTTGATCAATTCTGGCTTGTCTGCTTTTATGGCCCTTGGCAACTTCTGCTCTTCATTGAAAATAAACAATCACCTGCAAATGCTGGTAAGGGTTTCTAGCGTATTTATTTAAGATTGAATACCTAGCCAAAATCAAAGATTCAATCTTTTCAGGTGTTACCTATTTGATTTTAAAGGTTAAGGTCATAGGCTATAGATAGAAAAGTACGGCTTTGTACGCTTTTTGAGATGAGATTAAAGATATTAAAATATTGATACTAAACCGAACGAGTTCAATTGAACTTTTTACTTTGATAGTTTCAATAATCCAAAATAATTATCTACTTTTGATAATCAACTCAGTAAGTAATTAGTTGCGTTAAGTTAAGTCTTCCACAATTGTTAACGAAAAAATTTAGAAAAACATAAACTATAACAATTCCTTTAGAACAGAGCCCGCAAAACTGGGACGAAAACGGCACTGATGCGGTTATCGCAGCAGGAAACAATTGTCTGATAGGCTGTTTTTTTTAGAAACGGAACAGTGCCCTTTAACGACTTGTCAACACATTTTTCACAAGACGTGCTTAGAAAACTGGTTGGCTACTCATGAAAAGTGTCTAAACTGTGTGCAGCAAATTAACACTCAAGTCCTGAAGCTTTTCGTTGGACGGGGTTCCCCCAACAGACTAGAAGTGGCAAAAACGTCTCAAGCTGCGGCGACTCCAATAGTTTCCATAGGGGGTCCCAATAAAAGGGCTACACGGAATTATGCCAAGAGATCCTGAAGTTCAGCTCTAAAATGGCATACCAAATATACCTTCACAAGATCCGCAAAATTTGCATGTCTAGACACTACTCAAAGCATTAATTATGCAAATCCTGGGCAGGGTCGGTGGCGAAGGGGTCGTCCTACTCGATAAAACAATTATATGCCTGGACTTCACGTCAGATTTTGTAAGCAAAGAACGTATTCGATCAAGAAAACAAAAGCACGGAGAGCCATTCGGCCTCTTTTACGACGCTGTTGTGTCACTACTTGACAAGAGTTCAGTTAAGATGGATGATATAGAGGTATTAGAAATCCTCGAAAACAATCTTCTACCTGAAGGCCGCCAACTGTTACTATACCAGCCAATCCATTCAGTCAGTCACCTTCGAAAGCTAGTACAGATGGAAGAATCTCATGTCAAGGAACTCAGCTTCAAATCAGAATCGCCTTCCAAAGTTACACCCATAGCATTGGAACTGTGATGTACAAGGCCACAGCTGGGAAAATTGTCTGGCAGATCGACGTGTTTTTTGTTATTGGTGCCGGGCATTTATCTTATACAAGCCGCAATTCAAAACTTGTCTTAATCACCGGTCGGAAAACCGCTGGGAGCAGCCAGCAAGAAAACGTTGCTCCCGAAATCTTAAGGGGGTGTTTTCATCAAATGATTCCACAATAAAGGGTGATGATATAAAACGTTCAAATGAAAATTTCGAAGTCCCAAAAACAGAAGAACGTCGTCGTCGATTTAAACTATACCACGAGCGATTAGCTAGATATTAAGAAATTAAAAATGAAATTTTCAATGAAGAGCCTCGAATTAGTGAAAATAAGCGTAATACGTTAGGGTTGGGATAGGTAGGTATGGTTGGGGATTAGAAACTAATCCCACCACTTAGGCCACACTGGGCCTTTGTGATACCATGTGATCTCTGTACAGAACCTTTTCCCTAGCTCATCAGTTAATGGGTTTCTCGAATCAGGTCTTTTTTAAAAAACATAACAGTTTGGGATTGCTTACGCCTTGTATGGCCGCAAGGCTCAGAAGTGTAAAGCTTCCAAGGGCTTGGAAACGTTTCCTGTACTTGCTTACAGCTGCGGCAGTACACGTGGTTGCTGAGTCCCAGCCTACGCGCGTGAGTCCCTAAAAGACAATGGCGCGTGAGGCCATTAATTAGAGCGGATATGTCATATTGTAGGAAATGTTGCATTGTAGGAAAGTTTTGGTTTTTTCTCGGGTTATAATTTTGCCAAATGAGCCTGGAAGTGTGGTATGTTGAGATTGTGTTCCATCGGTTGTTGGAGAGGGTGAACAATCTTTGCTTGAAGAGGAGCTTACAGGTAGCCGTGGGCATACC